ATTCGGCCGCTAACAAAAGCCAACTAGTGAATACATCCGGGTCATTTATAGCGGAACACGCTATAACTAGCAGGGAATGTGTTGCTGGTTTGAGTGTTGACTGTTTTTCCATTCTGGCGAAGTCACACTCTGCATATCATTTGAAGGTTCTTGAGTCCATTTACATCAAGTCCCGCAGGCCGTCTCTCTGTAAGCAGAGAGATTGCTTGTTGGGCTTGAATGTGATTGGGTTCTAGTTCTTTCTATCATATATAAAAAAATTTTTTTCCCTTTCCCCCTCATTGAATGTTTTTTTTTTTGTTTTTAAGTTTATGATTAAATAATCCCAGTGTATCAAACTTGAGGAGTACTGGGACGAAACCGGTTGTTTGTTTTAGGTCTTAATTTTCTTAATTATGTCCTTTACATTCCGCTTATTTCTTGCCATAATATATATATATATATATATATATATATATATATATATATTATATTATTTTTAAGCATTTCACCCCAAGCAAGGCAGGATGCCAGTAGTACGCAGAGGGTTACAGAGTGGGAGCAAGAGCAAAGAAACGTGATGGAGGAAATGATGAAGACTAGGACAGGGGATAGTTCAGGACATCTGGAGATGTCGATTGACATTACATTTGAATAGTTGGAGATTATAGCTATCAGGGAAACAAATAATAGGAAGGGAATTCCACAGGCAAGAAGTGCGAGACATGAAGCTATTGGAGTAGAAGAGACGGCCACATTTAACCGTTTCGACAGTGAAACGGTGGGACCGTGATGCCAGCCTAGTAGCACGCTTAAATTCATGCAGTCTGGGAACTAGCGAAAGTAGCTTGTCGGAGCAGTCACCGTGAAAATATTTGTAGAAAAGGCAGAGGGAGGCGACGGCACGTCTGTGAGAGACCGACTGAAGACGAGATGCCAGAACAGGACAACCTCATTGCTTATCCGTCTCTGGATCTTGTGGAGGACCTTAAGGTGAACAGCTGGGGTACCAGACAATATATGACATCAGTATTCCATATATATATATATATATATATATTATATATATATATATATTATAAATGAACTTATTTAAAATATTTTTTCCGCTACATACTAATAACCAAAAATTGAAACTTCAGATTTAATTTTGTAATTAAATCAAAAGCATTACTTCCATTTCATCTTCAAGCGAATATTGAAATAACTTCTGTGTCCTAAACAGGGAATTATGAATTTTATGTGTGCCTTTAAAACTCAGTAAATTTAAAAATAAGTTATTCAAATATTCGCTTGAAGATGAAATGGAACTAATGCTTTTAATTTAATTACAAAATTAAATTTGAAGTTTTTTACTTCCATTTTTGAAACATAGTTATTACTATGTAGCGGGACAAACATATTTTAAATCAGTTAATTTATAATATTTATACTCTGTAAATTTACACTGAGCACTGTTTTGTAAAAATAAGAATAAAAATATCAATAAGAATACCGGGTTATATATCTTACTGTTTTTTCTTTTTATTTATATATGTATATATATAACACTAATAATCTTATCAATATAAGCAGTTTTACTCTTCTGGCAAAACCTTAGGTGTTTTAGCTTGTAAATCAACAAACAAATACCCAAGGGAAAAAAAGGGTAAAAAAAGGAAGAACTAAGAACATATATTTCCGGCGAAAATAATCGTCTCGGATCCAAGTTCAGAGACCAAAGGAAAAAACCTTCCGATATGAGTAAGTAAAATAACTAAACAAAGTGCTCAATACGCTAAGCAGAGCAAATAAAGCAAAGTAAACCTAAAGAGCCAGACAAACCTACCTAGGTTTCATCTACTCGGATCGTCAGGGCAGACTGGCTAAAGAGATGCAATCAGAACAGGAAATATAAACCCACAACACAAAAACATAACCATGTGATAACAACAACAACAACAAAACAAAAACAAAAAAAAAAACAAACAAACAAAAACGCACGTCAGATCAAAAAATTCGATCCCTGTCGGAGAACACATATTTTCTACGAAATTTCTCGAACATTCAGGACGGTAAATGCAATTAATAATGTTTAATTAAAAACAAAAACAGAGCATTTAATTAAATAAATTGTATCTACAAAAATAACGTATAAACAGTATATTCATTCAGTTTCGCTGAATCAAAGCTCATCAGTGTGGTAGACGTCCAGTTGCCACTAGCTAGGATCGGAACCCGACTGAATAGGCGTCAATCGGGATTCTACCATTAAGGCGTTGGCGCACGGCAGGATGATGGTGAATTTAAGCATATTTATTGTCAGATAAAAAAACACAGTGACTGAGAGAACTGGATTCGATTTACCGAAGAGTCTTGCATTATTAGCCGTAATAGTCACTGTTTACAAACTCACACTTCTTCTCCAAGAGCTCAACCGAAATACATTTTTCAAGAGCATGAATCACATAAAAAAGTAACTCTATTATTCCATTCAGATGGCCATTTCATCTCGGGATATTCTGTATAATAAATATATTGAGCTCTCTTTTGTGGATCAGTTCTAATATTTTACATTATTAGGATCTACTTGGATTACTTACCCACAGATTTTTTACCTATATATATATATATATATTTATTAAAGACATTTTTATGTTTCACGTTCTTTTTTTATAGATACAAGTATTTAAGTAAATGCTCTGTTTATAATAAACAGTATTAAATAACATTTACCGGCCTAAATGTCCGAGAAATTTTCATACCGGTAAATGTTTGTCCATTTCTTAATATATATATATATATATATATATATAACTGTTTTTGGTCACATGGTCATGTTTTTTATATTGTAGGCTATTTATATTCTGTTCTAATCTTACCTCTTTGGCCAGGGTACCCTGAAGACCCGGGTAGATGAAACCTAAGTAAGTTTACCTGGCTCTTTAGGTTCATAGTTAGATTTGCTCTACTTAGTGTATTGAGCACATTGCTTAGTCATTTTTACTTTACTCGTGTCGGAGGGTTTTTTTCTTTGGACTCTGAGCTTGGATTCTTGTCGATTATTTTCGCCTGAATCACATGTTTTTAGTTCTTTCTTTTTTATTCTTATTTTTCCTTGGGTATGGTTTGTTCATTTACAAACTAAAACACCTAAGATTATTCCGGACGGGTATACTTATATTTATAAGATTATATATATATATATATATATATATATACTAGCAGCATGGCCTGGCGTTGCCCATGCTTGATTCAAAAATCGTACGACACATACAGCAATCGCTATCACTTGACTTAAAATATTTTTGCCCTTCCTTGCCTTTAAAGGAGTGCCCTTTACCATGCTGATGTTGCTACATGCCTTACTTCTTGCCTATCTCACACTGCGAATTTTTTCTAAGCTCTGTACTAAACATTAAATCTGTTACGAAAAAAGAACGAAACAAAATGAACACAAAACGATCAGCTTTAAAAAAGGACTCGTAACTGGAAAAACCAAATGAAAAAAGAATGTTAACAACAAATACTTTTTCACACCCAACCCAGTTCTGCGGAATCAGAATCAACGTTGAGTTTAAGCAAGCGAATGAGCCAATTGGAGTAAAGTGACATGCAGATTTAAATTTTTCCCACTTGTGACGAATGCAGCTATCGATTTTTTGCATGCTAGTTAACATTCGTGTCAGTCAGCTGTTGGCTCTCACGCTGGCCAATAGAATCTTCTTGCCTTTTCCTGGCAGCCAGCTATAGGCTCTCACTCTGGCCAGTAGAAAATGGCCGCAAACTACATGAAAACTGCCGTAGAAGCATGAAAAAAATCGATTATTTCCACTATCGATGGGAGTTGGGAAATGCAAAGTCGGTCTTGGCCTTCCCGCTACATTGGAGCATGTGCATGTAAATTTTGGTGTAAATCCGTCGAAAATTGCGGCCGTGCATTCGTTACACACACACATCCTGCCTATATCTATCTATCTATCTATCTATCTATCTATCTATCTATCTATCTATATATATATATATATATATATATATATATATATATATAATGCACCTTTTCCACTCTAGTTTATCATGTAGACCTTCAAGATTCGTCCAATACACACAGTATCTATCACGCTGATGCATGTTGTTTTTGCCTTGTGGTTGAAACCAAAATCGTTCGTCTTCCTTTGGACTGGTTCACTTACCAAAGCTATACAATCCAGCCTTCCCTACCATTTTAACCCTCGAGATGATGTTCCTTTGCATGTACATACATCTTGTATCTGGGCTAAGCCCAAACTAACTGTTCACCACAGCCAGACAAAACGCCACACCCGCTCATCAACTATTCTGACCCCAGATGACCCAAGTGGGTTCAGTATAACATTCCTTGTACTTCCCCACCTCCCAAAAAAAAAGGGGCCAAATTAGATGTCTAGTGAAGCAATTGCTGTCGTAAAAGACAAAAGATGGGGACGAAGCGAAGGAAAAGCAAACGGAAAAAGGACAGTTGGTGTAAGTTTCTGAATATTTATGAGGGGTAACACGGTGACCTGCAATTATGTTCTGTGAGAGTAATGATATGCTTTTACTACGCGTTGCTCAACTTCATCTCACAATACAGCAATGACTACATACTTTTCATTCTCTTGTACAGCATTCCTTTTCTACAATCTCCTTTTTACCCCCGACTTTGTTTTTCTTCCTCGTACACTTCTATACTATTCCATATCAATGCTTAACCACATAGGATCAGTCTTCGTTGTGTCTCATTGTCCCTCCCCTTACGCCTAAAACTTCCTGTTCCTCGGGCTCCTCTTTTCTTCCCATACATCATATTCTTTTAAAACTACGCCATCACTGGATTACGCGCCCATCCTGCCACAGGGCCTGCCCGACACCTTAATTCGACAACGGCGCTGGTTTAAGACGCGAGACCAACCGCTTTTCTTGGTCTGTTTTATGCATCACTGACCATTCATTCTAACTGACCATCATGTTGAGAACAATTTCGACATTACGTTAGCCCCCCCCCCAACCTAATCGAATTTTTCATGCTTTTTCTCCCTTCTCTATCTTACATCAAAACACCTTTTCTTTCTTTAATTTCTCTGTTATATTTATCGATGATCTTCTTGGCTACATTATCTTTTTTCTCTTTCAGATTGTCTCTTCTTGATTCCTCCCTATATTTCCTTCTTTCTTTCCTTCATCTCTTCCTTTCTTCTTCTTTTTCTTCTTCTTCTTCTTCTTCTTCTTCTTCTTCACTAAAGTGTTTTTTCATTCTTTTATTTTCTTTCATTCGTTCTCGTCCTGTAAGATTTCTTCTTCTTTTTCTTTATCTTCCTCTTTATGTGGCTGTCTTCTTGATTTCATTCCGTTTTTTTTTCTTTCTTTCTTTTTTTCTTTCTTTTTTTCTTTTTTTCTTAAGTTATTGCTACCTTGATTTGGTTTCTGTCTTTCTCTCCTTGTTTATTCTTCTTCTTCTTCTTCTTCTTCTTCTTCTTCTTCTTCTTCTTCTTCTTCTTCGTGGCTATCTCATTTATTTATTTATTTCTCCTTCTCTAATATGTCTTTCGTTATATTGTCCTATCTTTTTAACTTCTTTCTTTCTTTCTTTCTTTCTTTCTTTCTTTCTTTCTTTCTTTCTTTCTTTCTTTCTTCTACTTTCCTAAGTTACCGTCTTTTTTATTTTGTTTCTATCGTTCTTTCTTTATTTCTTCTTCTTCTTCTTCTCCAAAATGTTCTTCACAAACAATTTTCTTAGTCTTTTAATTCCTTTAACATTGTAATCCTCACCCTATTTTTGTTCTGCTTTCTTCCTGTCTATCTTTCTTTATTACTTCCTTTCTACTTCTCTTCCCCGGCGTGTTTTTGAATTCTCTGTTTCGCACATAGCTTTCTTTCCTTCCTTCGACTTCTTCCTTCCTTCCTTCCTTCCTTTCTTCCTTCTTTTCCTTCCTTCCTTCCTTCCTTCCTTCCGTCCTTCCTTCCTTCCTTCCTTTCTTCCTTCCTTCCGTCCATCCTTCCTTCCTTCTTTCCTTCCTTCCTTCCTTCCTTCCTTCCTTCCTTTCTTCCTCTCCTTCCTTCCTTCCTTCCTTCTTTTCTTTCTTTTTTCCTTCCTTCCTTCCTTCCTCTTCTTCCTTCCTTCCTTCCTTCCTTCTGTCCATCCTTCTTTCCTCTTCTTCTTTCCTTCCTCCCTCTCTTCCTTCCTCTTCTTCTTTCCTTCCTCCCTCTCTTCCTTGCTCTTCTTCTTTCCTTCCCCCCTCTCTTCCTTCTTCTTCTTCCTTCCTTCCTTCTTCCTTCCTTCCTTCCTTCCTTCCTTCCTTGCTTCCTTCCTCTTCTTCCTTCCTTCCTTCCTTCCTTCCTTCTTTCCTTCCTTCCTTCCTTGCTTCCTTCCTCTTCTTCCTTCCTTCCTTCCTTCCTTCCTTCCTTTATCATCATCATCATCATCAATCAATGTTCTTTTAATTCCTTTATTTTCATTTTCTTTCTTATGTGTCTCTTAGTTTCTTGATATTTCCTAAGTTGTGCTTCGGACAGCAAAACTCAAACGTGGACTGGAAGCCCGTGATTGGCTAATTTTCTAAGAGGCTCTATGCATAGGAAAGCAGGTTTTTGAAAATCTGGCTTTTTACCTGGCATAGAATACAGACCTATTCTCGTGTCGGTATTAAATATATAACCTTTTTCTCTTTCTTTATTTAATTTCCACACGTCTTCCTTTTGTTCTTTCTTTTCTTCTCATTTTTTTTTCTTTCCGTCCTCATTCATATTCTTCCCGATCTAATATATTTTCTTCTTGTCGATCCTTCCCTCCCTCCTTCCTTCCTTCCTTCCTTCCTTCCTTCCTTCCTTCCTTCCTTCCTAAGTTATTTTCTTAATTTCGTTCCAATATATATTTTCTTTTTACCCATTTTCTTCTTCTTCTTCTTCTTCTTCTTCTTCTTCGTCATCATCGTCACCATTTTCTTCTTCATCCTCCTCCTCCTCCTCATCATCATCATCATTTTCTTCTTCTTCATTTCTAAGGTGTTTTCATCTTTCGATTTCATTCCTTTCTTTTTTTTCTTCCTTCTTCTTCTTCTTCTTCTTCTTCTTCTTCTTCTTCTTCTTCCCGACGTAATATTTTTTCTTCTTGTCGATTTTGTTATTATTCTTCCTTCGTTCATTTTTTCTTTCCTTCTTTCTTAAGATGGTTTCTTCTTAATTTCGTTCCTATCTTTCTCTCCTTCTGTTCTTCTTCTTCTTCTTCTTCTTCTTCTTCTTCTTCTTCTTCTTCTTCTTCATTCCTAAGGTGTTTTCTTCTTTCGATTTCGTTCCTTCTTCTTTCCAAAGATGTTTTCCTTGTCTCGATTTTGTTCTTATCCTTCCTTTCTTTCTTCCTCCTCCTCTTTCTTTTCCTACCTTGCTTCCTTCTTTCCTTCCTATCTAAGACATTATCTTTTTCTCGATTTTGTTATTTATCACCCTCCCTTACTTCCTTTCTTTCTCATTTCTATCTATATTTCCTTCTATCCTTCTTCATTTCGAAGGAATTTTCGTCTTACGAAT